TGGGGAAGTGGGTATTTGAACTCCGGCCGAGGGTGAGGCACACAGAGGGAAGCAGATGGGGGCTGTTACCAGGGACACTGGAGATCTGTCTTCGGAGTTGATGGCCCTGCCAATCAAGACCCGGGCAGGAGAAAGGACCTTCCCCATGGCACACCTGCAGCTACCTTCCCGTTTTAAACCCTTCCCAGGACGACAGTGATAATCTGTATTCCAAAACCCTTCCCTACCTGAAAGAGCATCCTCCTATTACTCCAGAATCACCATCCTGGTAAATAGAGGGTTTGTCCCCAGGAAGAAGGTGAATCCTGATACACGGCAGAAAGGCCAGGTAAGGGGTGTGAATCCTCCCGTGTGAGCAGGGCTCTCTAGAAACTAGGCCCTGAAGAGCAATATTGTTTTCCTTTTTAGATCAAGGGAGAAGTAGACCTAGTTGGGATGGTGAGGCTGACAGAAACTAGGAAGCCCTTTGTCCCGGAGAACAATCCCGAAAGGAACCACTGGCATTACCGGGACCTGGAGGCCATGGCCAGGCTCACAGGCGCAGACCCCATCTTCATCGATGCAGACTTCCGTACGTTGTGACCAGCCCACCCCAGAAGAGCATGTAGCTTTTGTAAATACCTGGTTCTACCTTCCTCTCAGCTCTGACATTTTTGGTACTTGCTACTGTTTACATTTTAGCGTGTGTGGGAGGAGTGTGGATGTCTGCCAGATACTAAGGGAAGGAGGCAACATGGGGCCGGTTACGGGTTTAAAAAAAAAAAAGGGGGGGGGCCCACCGAATTTTGGCCATGCAAGAGCTCTGCAAGGCTACATGGAAACAGCTGGCCAGAGTGCTGTAGGGAGACACCGAGCCCACTGTCTCTGCAGGGAGCACAGTCCCCGGGGGACCCATTGGAGGGCAAACCCGAGTCACTCTGAGGAATGAGCACATGCAGTACATTGTTACCTGGTAAGTCCCGGTCTCTAGCTGCTCCCAAGTCTTACCCTTCCAAACGCTGACCGTTCATCTCTTCAACCCTAGGTATGGACTCTGTGCAGCTACAGCCTACCTGTGGTTTAAGAAATTCCTACGTCGGAGTCCTGGTGTGTGAGATTAGCTAATGAGCGGAAGGATCACGATAAATCCGGAGGCTGTTTTTATATGGGATTGGGTACTACTCATATGAATAAATCTTACACACCTCTTGCCGTCTGCCTGCCACTCTATCTGTTCTAGTTAACGGCCTGGATCGTAAAATCCAAGCTTTGTCAGCACGTTCAAGTACGATGTGTGACTGAGTGGTTGAGGCTGCTTGTTCAGAACAGGTCAACCCACACCTCCTGCCCTGTGCCCAGTACAGACCCTGGGTTTGAAAACACTTGCCGCCCTCCCAAACTGACAGATCAATTACATTCAACCCAAACGCCAATTGACACTGGCTGACACACAACGTTTTATTACTTTTATGTACAGAAAATTCAACAGCGTCCACTCAGCCCAGTTTGGTGGCCAGTTCTTTAGCCTTTGCCTTTTCCAGCTTGGCGATGCGAGCCACAGACTTTGGGCCCAAGACGTTGCCTCCCCAGTGGCGGCGGATCTGCAACGACGGAGGGTGGGGGGGTCAGTGTGGCCTCCTTCAAGGCTCTCAAAACCAGGTCAGCCCCTAGTGGTCTTCTACTTGACCACTCAGGAGCCAGCTTGGTGTGCCCAAGACGGCGTCGTGTGCGTGCCCGAGGCCGCGTTATATGTCAGGCTGCTGCTTACCTCGTCGTATCTGTCATTGTAGTTGGTCCTGATGGCCTCCACCAGCTTTGCCAGGGCTCCTTTGTCTTCCCTAAAAAGGCCGGGGGAAAACGGGGGTCACTGGCTTCTCAGCTACCTTTCCAGAAAGCGGGGATGGGCTGTTAGCCCCAACCAGCCCTTTGCCTCAGACACAGTATGACCACACAGCTTATTCAGGTGAAGAAATTCGTAGCCATCATCGGCAAAGATTCGAATTAAACATATCCCTTTAAGGTATGTCGTTTGGTCTTCAGGGAAAATCCCGAGGAATGAAGAACTGGGGGAGGGGGTGGCTGACCCCTACTGACTGCTGGGAGCTGGGGGCCACCTTGCATACTCACGAGTTGACCTGTGTGAAGGCGACAGTGGTGCAGGTCTTCCTGTGGACCAGACGGCCCAGCCTGGCCTTCCCCTTGATAATGCAGTAGGGAACCCCCATCTTACGGCACAGGGCAGGCAGGAAAACCACCAGCTGGAATACAACATTAGCTCTAGGATGTATTTTGACTAAAAGCAGGAATGTAAAAGCTAACTCAGTAGCAACTGCTCAGGGTTAAAAAGCTCATGTACTCGCACTTCAAGGTTTAATTCAGTGAGAAATCCACATCATCGCAGTGGCTGTCAATCGGGTCACCTGTCAGTACCGTCCTCGATGAAAAGGTACCTCCCCACTTTGGCCTAACACACCAGACTCAACATCTAGCTTTAGCTGTCCCAGCACTGACATCAAGACCCAATCTATCAATGCTTTTTTTTTTTTTTTTTAAAGATTTTATTTGAGACAGAATGAGAGACAGCGAGCGAGCACATGAGAGGGCGGAGGGTCAGAGGGAGAAGCAGACTCCCCGCTGAGCAGGGAGCCCGATGCGGGACTCGATCCGGGGACTCCAGGATCATGACCTGAGCCGAAGGCAGTTGCTTAATCAACTGAGCCACCCAGGCGCCCTAACAATCAATGCTTAAAAACAAGAAAGACCTACCTCAATGGGATCCACATCATGTGCAATCACTACCAGCTGAGCCTTCTTGTTTTCCACCAGGGTGGTGACGGTGTTAACCCCTACAACACACAACCAGTTTGTGCGCGCAGTCCATAGGGGCTGCTCGGTTAACAAAAGCAGCTCTCCTCTGGGCCCAGCTGTGACTCAGGGTTAAAAAGCTCGATTTTACTCTTCACAGTGATTCCAGGTGAAGAAATTCATACATCATTGCCAACAGCCTGTCCCACTACTCGCCTTCTGTGAGGAGGGGCCCACTCACCAGCTCGAAGGACAGGTGGCCTCTTAGTGGGGACATCCCCTTTGCCTGCAGCTTTCTTCTCAGCCCGGGCCAACAATCTCTGCTTCTTCTCCTGCTTTGTCTCTGGTCTGTACTTGTGGGCCAGCTTAAGCAGTTGAGTAGCTGCAAGAATCATTGCCAGTTTAGGCATGTTTTAAGCACTGGTCTGTGCCACCCGATGCAATGCTAGCTCACTGCCCTGAAAGTAGTCCAAGAAATCCCCCAACACGTACGTGACCTCTTCGGCCAAGGCCACCTTCACGTTCCGAAAATTAGATATGATATTCTCAATTTTAATAATTCAATTTACTTGAAAACACCCACTGCCCCTAGAAAGACTGCAGACGTAGTACCATCGGAGTCAGGACGGTAACATCGTCCTGGCCCAAGAAACCCCCTCTCGGATGGTTTTGTGCCGTGGAACCTCACCTGTCTGGCGGTCCAAGGCCTGGGTGAACTGGTTAATTGCAGGAGGCACTTTTAGACGTTTATAGAGAATAGCCCTTTGCCGTTGCAGCCGGATGTAGCGGGGCCATTTGACAAAGCGGGTGAGGTCCCTTTTGGGCTGGATGTCCTGTCCTGAGAAGTTAAAGGCAACACCATTAAGTGAGGATCAAACCCCCGTGGAGTCCGTGTTTGGTGCCATTCGGAGGGTGCAGGTGCATCAGCGATCTTGGTGGTTTCAAGCGTCATCACCATCTCTCAGATAGCAAATATTCTTTTACATCATCTGCACACAAACACCTGGGATCGCAGGGAGACCCCAACACCTCCCTCCTCATCTGGCGAGCAGCCAAGCTGTCCATCAGTACAGTGGCCCAAGGGCCTCTGCTCTGAAAGCGTGGCTCTCAAGGGCCAGGCTGAGTACCAGTATCTGAGCAGCAGCACAGTGGCGCTCAGGTGGCACACCCCGCGCACCAACATCAGCCACATCTCGAGCCCAGGGAGGAAGCAGAAAATGGGACTCCCACCCGGGCAGCTCCAACTCCAGACGCCCGAGAAGCTTCTATCAAGCACAGGACACGATCCTCTGCTCGGTAAGCTAGCGCTCCTCTCTGGGAGTAACATCAAATTCTCGCGTCCCCCCTCGTACTCACCGATGCCAAAATTCTTGGGCCTCTTCTCGAACAGGGGATTGACCACCTTCTTGGCCTCCTGCTTCTTCACGACAGCAGGGGCCGGGGCCACCTTCTTCCCCTTCGCCTTCTTGCCTTTCGGCTGCGCGAGAAGGAACACGCTCAGACCGGGTCCTCCCGTCCCCGCGACAGGCCCGGGCTGGCTGCCGACGTCCGGGTGGCCCAGCGGCGAGCCCGGCGGCCGCCCGCGTCTGCGTCAGTGGTCCTGGGGCTCAGGCACCAGACACCCTCCACACCCCTCCACGAGCCCCGGCAGCCACGCGGCCACGTTCGTCCGCGACGCCGCGCACGGGCCGAGCCGGAGCCGGCTCCGTCCCGGAACTGCGCGCTCTTTAAGAGCCCGACACACGGCTGGCGCCGAACTCCTCGCCCGAGGCCCCTGGGGCAGCCCCCACGGCGCGGCGGACCCTCGGCCCCGGCGTTCCGAGCCCCGCATTGCGGCGCTGCGCTCCCCCGGCCCGGACCCTCCTCCCCGCACTGCCGGACGCAGCCTGCAGCATAACACCCGGCCTAATGCCTCCCTGCCAGGCTCCGCGGGGCTCCCCTAGCGCCGGGCGGTGGAGGGATCCCCGCACGGCCACGGCCCGAAGAGGATGGCAGCGGATAGAAACCAGACCCAGCGCCGACATAGGGACCCGCAAAATCACTCACCATCTTGGGTTGCGGGAGGAGAAAGAAAGAAAAGAGAATTGTGGGTAATATGTAGGCGACATCGGAGATCGCGAGAACTGGCGCCTTCGCGGGATTTCGGATTTAAAGGAACAGGACCGCCCTTGCCCGCCTCCGATCGGGGGCGGTGCCTTAGTGCGGCCGCCGCGGCGAGTCGCGGCGAGCGGCGCGGAGCCAGGACTTCCGGGGAGGGGCGTGCGCTCTTCTGCACCCCTTCCCGCCCCTGTACCCAGCCTGGTCGCCCCGGGTTCTGAGGACCAGGTGGGGGCGTCGGGGCGGGGTCGCCGTCTTTTCTCAGGTGTGACCCCCCCCTTCCCCTGCTACAAAGTGACGCCCAGGCCGCGAGTTCGGTCGGTCGGCGGCGCGCAGGCCCCGGGCCAGTCGGCCGGAGCGCGTGGGCGCGCGGGGAGGGAGGGTGGTCCCGGCCGAGGCCCCCCCGGAGCGAATGGGCTGTGGGCGCGGCGGCCCTCCGGGGGCCCGGCCTGGAGCAGAGGGTGCGGCGGGGGTAGAATCGGAGGGACGTCTCGGCGGAGGGGTGGGGGGCGGGCGCTCGCGGACGCGCGCTGGCCGGAGCCGAGAGCCCGCAGTGCGCTTGTGTGCTGACGGTTGCACGAGTCTGTCTGACGGGAGGGGTCTCTCCCGAGATCGCGGTTCTGCCGAGCTGGGGCGTGGAGGGTGGGCGGCTGGGGGTGGCTCGGCTCACGCCGGACTCTGGCTCCCAGGTGCCGCCTCCGCGCTGCCTGAGGCCCCGCCATGGCCCAGCAGAGAGCCCTGCCGCAGAGCAAGGAGACGCTGCTGCAGTCTTATAACAAGCGGCTCAAGGACGATGTCAAGTCCATCATGGACAACTTCACCGAGATCATCAAGACCGCCAAGGTGGGGGCGGGCAGGCCGGCTCCTGCCGCTCTGAGACCAGGGAAAGGGGAGGGGTCTAGCCAGTGGTGAGCTGAGTGGCCGGCCTGCTGCGGTCAGGTGTCACACGGGTGGGGGGGATCCAGCAGTGAACGCACAGGCCAGGCCTTGTCCGCATGGGGAAGATATTGGGGAGGGCAGCAAGGGGGTCCGGAGTAGCAAACAGGTCAACCGATAAATAAACCAGCCAGTTACAGGCCCTGGTAAGATGGCCTGGCTTCCGCGTCCAGCGCCACTTAACCAGCAGCATGGGTCTGGGTGAGGACCAGACCTCCCCGTGCCTCCGTTGCCCCTGCATCCTAAGGCCCTTCCGGTGATTGGGTGACATTGTGTACAGTGGTTGCCGTGGGGCGTGACTCTGGCCCAGACGTGGTTGCTCTTGCCCCCCAGTGCAGTCAGGGAGAAAGGCAGGGGAAGTACCCTCCAGGTGGTTAGAACTGGCTGTCTGGATCCGGTTGGCAAGCCTGCTGGGCTGCAGTGCAGCAGGTGGGGATGAATCTTGAGACTCCTGTAGACCTCGGAAGGCTTGTTAGGGCCATGATTGAGAAAGCTAACCTGTATTTAGCGTGCATTCACCGTGTGTCACACCGTGTCATGAGAGCTGTTGTGTCTTACGGTATTTAACCGTCACACCAGCTCTGTGGGACAGGTAGTGTTTTCTTCATTTTCAGAGGCGGAAACTGAGGCTCAAAAGACTAATTTGCCGAGGTCATTCTGCTAATAGCCGGCAGAGCCAGGATTTGAACCCAGGAATCCAGCTCCTTACTTTAGGGTGCCCTGCCCCCAGCCCAGGGCTGGCAAGGCCCCCTGTGGAAGCCCTGTCCCATGGACGGGCGGAAGCTCTGAGTAGCCTGCACTTTGGACAGGCCAGGCCAGGCAGCACTTCTGGCTCCTCCATGCACTGTAGGAGACACCTTGGATGCACTCTCTGAGCTGTCCCTGCCTCAGCTTTGCCCACCTGTAAACCCAGGATGGCGGTCCAGGCTTCGGTGAGAATTCCACAAGATAATGGTGGTTAAGCGCTGAATATGGCGCCTGGTAGACTGGAAGAGCTAGTAAACAGTTACTCAAAAGAAATACATTGTGCCTTTATGCATTCAGCAGCTGTTTACTGAACATCTGAGCTTGCGACCCCATCTTGTACCAAACGGCTGCACACCCCAAAGAAGACTTGACCTAGATCTCCCTGCAGGCAGCACAGCAGTCAGGGTCCACAGGCATCCATTTTCCCGATGAAAGTGCCCGTGAGCTCCTTAGAACAGAACAGGAGGGGGTGAACGCTGACCAAGGTCTGGTCCGCCGCAGTGCGTGGCGGAGAAGGTGAAGTGGACAGCAGGCAGGAGGCAGCAGCGGCGGGTGTCCTGCAGCCGGCTAGTTACCTGTGGGCTGGGGCACCTGCCAATTCTGGGGTTTTTTTTGTCTGCCCTCCAGATCGAGGACGAGACACAAGTGTCAAGGGCCACTCAGGGCGAGCAGGACAACTATGAGATGCACGTTCGAGCTGCCAACATTGTGAGTGAGTCACCAGGTGGAGGGCGGGCCCAGGGCTGCAGGAGCCTTGTGGTCCCACCTTTGAGGGGGGTGGGGGGCGAGTGGGCAAACCACTTCTCAGGAGACTCCCCTCGAGAGGAGGGCTGTCTGGCAGCTGCGCAAGGGACGGCAGATAGTCGGCCACATCCATCTTGGAGAGTGCTGTGCGATGGTTAGAAAGGGATCGACCCTTCCTTGCCGATGAGACAGCTCCTGGAGACTGATTATGAGAGCAAAAGCAAATTGCCGAACAAACCAAGATGTGCGTTTTAAATGCCTCTGATGTCTCAGAACAAGCACATCAGCCAGATGTTTCCACGGATGTGTGCCCACGGGTGCAAACGCACAGGAAAAGCCCCAGAGGAATCCTGCCCAGCTGGCCTGCTTGCTGCTCCCAAGGAGGCACAGGGGCAGGTGTTACACGGGACAGTAGTTTTATCTGTGGGGCTTGAGGCTTTGTGAAGCATAACCTGTGTAAGGGAGGGTCAGTATCCCTGCAGCGGCAGCCAGAGTGGAGGGGGGGCTGGGAAGCTGGTGGCGCCTGCCTTGGAAGCATGTCCATGGGTGGGGGCCACGGACCCTGCCCTCCCGTGGGTTCCCTTTGGTTCTCTCACTGCACGACGATCCTGTGAAGGTCAGTGCTGTAGTCCCACTTGACAGATAAGGAAAGGGAGGCAGGGCTGCTGCGGCTTCCTCAGCACGCCTGCCCTGGTTCTGATGGCCTCAGGTCCGAGCCGGTGAATCCCTGATGAAACTGGTGTCTGACCTCAAGCAGTTCCTCATCCTCAATGACTTCCCGTCGGTGAATGAGGCCATTGACCAGCGCAACCAGCAGCTGCGAGCCCTGCAGGAGGAGTGTGACAGGAAGCTCATTGCCCTGCGGGACGAGATCTCCATCGACCTGTATGAGCTGGAGGAGGAGTATTACTCGTCCAGGTACCGATAGGGCTGGACCCTGCGCAGAGCACAGCTGGGGGCCCGGGCCCGGCCTGCGGCCCCGAAGGCCCCGTTTTTGCAAACCCTTCCTGGTCTTGGCAGCACAGACACGTGCCGGGGTTTCAGAGCAGAGCTCACGGTCAGAGCGATTGATGGACAATTTACGCCGCCTGCCAGGCCCTGGGCAGCAGGATGAAAGTCACAGAACTTCAGGGTTTGGGTGGGCCAAGCCCCAGAGCGGAGGGCAGAGCCAGCATTCGTGCTGGGGCTGTCGACTGCCTCACTCTGGGCCTGTGTGCTTCTCTTAGTTTTTTAGTCAATATTTAAACGTTCCAGCCAGGCCTGGGCTAGCTTCTCTTGGCAGCCCAGGCTCATGCCCCGAATGTGCAGGATGCCAGTGCTTGCCTAGGGATGCGGTTCCATGTGGGGATCCCCAAGTCTTCAGCGTGTGTGTCAGGGTCCACGGTGGTGTGGGGGTGGGAAGGAGGAAGAAACCCGAGCAGAGGATGGCCTTGAGAGCTGGGCCTGGGGTATCCAGACCACTGAGTTCCTGTTCAGCCCATCGTGGTTCACGGACCAGAGCCTGCCTACATGTTAGGCCCATGCTGGGCCCCAGGGATACAGCAGTGGGCAAGACCTGTCACCCCAGCCCGCGTGCACCACTTGGAATCCTGAAACCTGAGTCGTCTGAGCCCAAGGGGTCCTGAGAAATCAGAGTCCAGGTGTAATATACACAGGGGAACTGAAGCTGGAGACGGGGAAGCCTTATACCTTTGTCCCTGTTAGCTCAGAAAGTCAAGTCTCTGTCCAAACGGAGCGGCGTCCCCCCATGCCTTTGCCCAGACAAACGTGTCCTTCCTGTGGTGGCTTTTTCAGATGATCCTTTCTGCCCCGTGGAGGCCATGCTGGGGCCACAGATGCCCAGAGCCAGCATGGTCTGTGGTCTGGGCCTTGGTTTCCCTGCCCTGTACTCAAAGCCAGCCCTCACTGTCCCTGGCCATCTTGGCCTCTGTGGGAAGGGACAGTACCACTGTCCAGCCGGAGTGGTTCTAGACTTTTCCAGAGGGTTCTGGGGCCACCTCTCGTCCCTGATACCCATTGGCTCAGCAGACATGGCGGCAAGTGCCTCCTATACACCAGGCCTTCAGAGAAGGGTCTGGAGTGGGTCCCTGGGGTGGGGGTGCTGTCTGTGTCTCAGACCATGCCAGGGACATGGTTCACAGCCCCGTGGATTTTGCAGAATCCCTTCATGTCCCTGTGTTTGTTTCCTGCTGCCCCCAAGGACCAGGCTTGTGGACTGAGTGGTTACAGGACAATTTAGTCCTGCGTCTCGAAGTTGAGGGCCAGGTTAGGGGTGGTGGTGAGGGACCTGCCCCAAGTCACCTTGACAAGACTGCAGGAAACCCAGGGGCCTGAGTGCCAGGCTTCCTGCGTCCTGCCGTGCCAGTCTGTCTCACCCAGGGGGGTCCTTGCTGTCCCTGGTGCCTTAGGAGGCTGAGTTCCTCCCTCGTCTGTAAATACCTGTGTAAGGCCAGGGCTCAGTTGAGTCACGGCTGCCGGGCTTTGTGCCCCTCCCCAAAAGCCAACACAGGTTGCCATGCCCCGCATGCCGGTGTCCACACTCGCCCGCTCTCTGCTCGTGACTCGCTCTTTCTCTATCTCTTGCCCTCTGCTGTCCTTGGGATGCCGCTCTGTGCCCAAACCACTGAAGGCAGAAGAAGCGAGGGAGGGAGGGAGGTTGGGGTCAGATAGGTGTGGGACCTCTGAGCTCTAGTCACCCCTGGACAGCTGTAGTGAGTCATACTCCTCACCTGCATCCTCACTCCGGCCTTCCCGTGCCTGGGCAGGCCAACACTGCTGACCTGTGTTAGAGGCAGGGAGACTTGAGTTCAGGGGGCCTGTGGGCCTGTTGGCCGCACAGCTGGTACAGTGGTGCCGCACAGAACACCAGGGCCCCTGGTTCTGTCGCGATTCGGGCAGAGTCCCCGCGGGGCAGAGAACCGGAACACAAAAACAAGACGGGGTATCTGCTCTCGGGGTCCTCACAAAGTGTAGGGACTGTGGAGAGACCATAGCGAGCTCTGGACAGCTGGAGCCAGGATAGGAGGCGGCAGCATGGGCTGGCTCAGCCTTGTGGCTGTCAGTTGGGAAATACACTTGGTCAGTCAGAGGGACCTGCCAAGGTCACTCCTGCTGGTGGCTGGTCCTGGAAGGGCCCCTCCTGTAGGATGCTGTGTTGGACCCTGAAGCAAGGGCAGCCCCACACGCACCCCCCCCCCCCCCATAGCCAGGCCTGTGGAGAGAGGGGCCAGCACAGAGAAGAGGAGGGGAAAGGCAGGTTTGGGGTGTGGTCTGTGTTTTCGTAACTCCGCTTCTATCTTGCTTCCCTGCCCCCACGCCCCGCCCCGGCTTCCGCCCGTCTCTGCCTGCTCCTGTCTCTCCCTGGGTTTCTGGTGGTGGAAAAGCTCAAGTCTTTGCGAAGCTAATGACCTGCCCCTGTGCGAAGCGTACTGGAGGCTGGACCTCGACACAGACTCTGCTGATGGCCTCTCGGCCCCTGTGCTGGCGTCCCCGGAGCCCAGCGCTGGCCCCCTGCAGGCTGCGGCCCCTGCCCACTCCCATGCCGGCGGCCCTGGCCCCACGGAGCACGCCTGAGCCTCCCAGGGCTCCCCTCCCCACACCCCTAGGTTCTTGGGAAGTCTGGTGTCCCTTCCGGGCTCGCCACAGCTTTGCTCCTTTCAGCCTTGCTTCCCCTTGCGAACTTTAGCCCAGGGACAGCTGCCCCCCTCCCCCCGCCAGGAGTGTTGGGGAAAAGTAGCTCCCCCAACCGTTTCCAAGGTGGCCCATCTCCCTCCGAGTGGTCACCTCTGTTCACGACCCTCCTGGTCGGCTGGGCAGAGGTTCCTGGACAGTCCTGTTGAGGGCCCGGTAGCGGGGCAGGATGTCCTGCTCTTTAAAAGCTGCAGGATGGTGCTCAGAGTGGACACTATTAGCCAAGTCCAGACTCCCCCTCTCAGGCCAGGCTCTCTGTGCAGAGCTACACCCCTGCCTTGTCCTAAGGGCCCCTGCACTAGGTGACTGTCCCCGCAGGGCTGTGGCGGGGAGAGAGATGCTGCCTGCTCTCGCCGAAGCCAGGACGGGGACCTTCCTAATTCTGCCACATATGTTCTGGTAATTTTGTAATAAGACAGTTGAATAAAAACAGCACTGCCCTTTTGCATTGGTTGGCTCTTTCTTGCTAATCCTGGCCCACTCCGGGACCACCCTTGGTTTCCCAGTGGCTGTTGGGAGAGCAGCTCCTAGGATCTGCCTGGACAGACTTGGGCTTGGGCAGGGACTTGGTCAGTTTGGGGCCGTGGCTGCACTGCTACTGCCTAGAACTGCTGGGGATCTAGAAAGTCCTTAATATTTGGTGATTGAAAAACCGCTGCCATTGCCGCATGTTCTAAGGTCCGGGTGCCTGCACTTCTGGTCCCTCCTGTCCTCGCTGCACCCGGAGTCTGTGCTGTAGTCACCCGCACTACAGGTGGAGGAGGAGTGGCCACAGGCTTGGAAGGGGCTGAAGTGTTGTGTCCGCGGTCACTGAGCTGGGAGATGAAGCAGCAGAAGTCAGGACTCGACCCACAGGGAATGTTGGGCCCGATGCCTCGGCGCCAGGCTCACAGGCGCGGGGGTGGGGGTGCGGGTGGTGTCACACCAGAAGACCTAGGACTTCGACCCCGTGCCCTGTCACCAGCATGCCTTATCTCCTCATGAGGGAGACATGGGTTGGTATGTAGGGGAGGTGACAGCCCACAATCCAGTCTCAAGAACAGGGAGGGACACATGCTGAATTATGCTGGATCCCAGAGACCACCCCCCCACCCCCCATAGCCAAGCAGAGGCACCACAAAAGTGGGACCATGGGGCCCAGTCCTGGGTCTGGTCCTGGTTTTCTGGGGTGGTCTGGGGAAGTTGTTTTCCCATTGAGAAACTAGGTGATGAGCTCTTCCCGAAACACCTTAATTGCAGAAATAACTTGTACTTAACACTAACTACAGAAAAAGGGATTAAAACCAATGGAAGCCCATGTGGGGAAAAGCCTGGAGTCGACCCAACCTGATGGTGGGGTTTCGAGCGTCTTCAGTTTCCAAACACCCAAGCAGCAAGATCTCTGCACCATCGGTGTTACGCTCTCCTGGGCTGGGCCAATGCTCCCATTGGAAAATGAAGTTGTTTCTCCCCTCCTAAAGCGAGTCAGCTCTCCACCACCTCTTCCTCTCCAGCCCATGCCCTGGCAGCAGAACGAACTCACTGGAGAAACGGGCTGTTTGCAGCTCTCCTCTGAGCCAGCTTCCTGCAGGTTTTGTCTCCATGGCCCCAGCCGAGCTACATGTGTTAGGGTCCCCAGTGGCCTCCACACCGCTAAACCCTGGGTGGTCCTCAGTCATACCACCTTTGTATCGCAAGTGTTTTACCGTTCAAATCCCTGATGAAGGCATAAAGGTCGCATGAAGAACACCCACACAGACACATCTCTGGATTCACCTTTTGCACCTTTACTTGCGCTCTCATTTATAAAAACCACCTGATTTAATAGCTGCAGGCCTCCTCATGACACCTCACGTCTAAATACCTGCCAGCTTGCCTCTCTAAGAAAAACCAACACTCTCCACGGCTCAAGGCCAGCATCAGGCCCAAAGTGAACAATCATATTCCATAACAGCATCTAGGATCATGACCCATTCTACTTTCCCCAGTTGTTCTCCAAGTGTCTTGTTATACTTATTTTTATTTTGCATTGCATTTACTTACTATTTCTTCTAGTCTTTTGAAATCTACAACAGGATCAGGGTGGTGGTCTGGAGTGGGTCAAGTACAGTTCTCGATACCTATTTATTTAAAAAGATTTATCCATTTTAGAGTGCATGAGCGGGGGAGGGGCAGAGAGGCAGGATGGGGGGAAGGCGACACAGACGCCCAACTGACTGAGCTTCCCCCAGGGATACTTTTAAGGGACAGCCAACGGGATTTGCTCCAGGACTGGGTGTGGGGAATGAGAGAAGGCAGGGTGGCTTCAAGGTCTGAGCCTCGAAGCATGGAGTGGCCTTAACAGAGCCAGAGAAGGCAGGCAGTGAGGGGAGGCAGGGTTCTGTACATACCCATGGAGCTGTGCCTCAGACGTCCAAAAGGGGGCCTGGAGGTCAGGAGAGAGGTCAGCACCAGGTCAGGAGCTCTGAGGAGGGTCACTGTGCAGTAAGAGTTGACCGAAAAGGGAAGTGAGGCCCAGAGAGGAGAGAGAGCAGGTAGGAGGGAGGAAGGCCTGTCACCTGCGGTTCCCAAAGTCCTGGGAGGTCGGGATTTCAGGGAGGAGGTAGGATTCGCGGGTTAAACGCTCCAGACAACTCTCACAGAAAAGGGAACCTAAAATTAAGGCCCACAAATCTAGATTTGCACTCGGAACTCAACTTTTTTCTCCCTTCTCTGTGGCAACTCTGCTGGCATCCGTTACCCCCCGTCCAGCAAAGACCTCAGGAAAGCCTCAAAGACCTCGCTGGAGATGGTGATGCAGGACAGAGAACCCCTGACTTGTGGTGTGGGCCAGAAGTCTCACTGAAAGAGGACCCATCATCCCCCGCCCACATCCCTGTCCCTCAACCCGTCTGGCTTCGATGGTTAAAACTGACGGTGCCAGGAAGAACACGTTTATGGCTCAATGAGTGTGCCCTATAGAGATTAGACTGTGTGCCCCGAAAATCTGTGGGGGAAGGCGATGAAGCTCTCCTCAAGCACCTCATGACAGAGATCAGGGGAGAGAGTTAAATCCTTAGTGCTTCAAATATAACATCAGAAGCCTTCTTAAATATACTTTGAGGTTGTAATTTATAAATCCATGCCCCAGTCTCTCCCTTCCCCTGAGGAATATCCCAAGGCAACCCTCAAAGGGCTCTGGGTTGTGTCAAAGCCTGTCGTTGCTATGAATTAAGGAACCAGGTGCGGGGGTCTCCAGCCTCAGGCTGCTGAACACCCCTTTCCTTCCCGAGTTCTTTTTTTAAGTTTTTTAAATTTTATATCTAATTTGATTTATTTATTATGTATGTACGTATGAACGAATGAATGAAAGCGCGCAGCAGGAGAAGAGGGAGAAGCAGACCCCCCGCTGGGCAGGGAGCCCTCTTCGGGCCTCGATCCCAGGACCCCAGGATCATGACCTGAGCTGAAGGCAGATGCTCAACCGACTGAGCCACCCAGGCGCCCCACCCCCCGTCAGTTCTTCAGGGAGAAGCCTTGTTGTAAATCTTAGTCTGTGATTGCGCTGTTCAGAGCAAAGATTCCAGTGGGTCTTCCCTGAGCGCCCCAGCATCCTCCTTACACCACCCCACATCCCCTTCCTCCCGGACCTTTCTCCGGAGCACTGTCACCCGACTCAGCCTGTGCTTGTCTTACTTTTCACCCGTCACCCCACCGAAACGCAAACCTGCCGAGGGCACGCGTGCGTGCTTTTTCCAGCGCTTGGAGCACGCCCCGCACCTGCTAGGCGCACGGTCCCCTCTGAGCGGACGTGCTCTCGCCAGGCTCCGCTTGGGATTCGAGTCCCCAGAGGCCTGAACCACGGCGGGTCCGTCTCGTTGCCCCCAGGAACCGAGCGCCTATAGTGGACGCGGAACAGTGCTGTGGGTGGGGGGCAGAGGCGGGGTCGCCAGCTCCTTCCGGGTCCGCGGGCAGTGCCCGGGAACCACGGAACCCGCCCAAAGCCCACAATGCTTTGCGCCCCGCCCCACGCGCTTCTTCCGGTCGGGCCAAGCCTGGCTAATCGAGCACCGCGCGCTGGCGGCTCGGCGCTCGGCCGGCGGCGCCTGCGCAACGCGCGGTTTCCGGCGTGGGTGGCGCGGCGGAAGCTGCCGGGGTAGTGTGTGTGCCACACGAGGAGGGCCGAGGAGACTGCGGCCATGGCTTCTCTGCTCGCCAAGGACGCCTACCTGCAGGGCCTGGCCAGGAAAATCTGCTGCCAGCCCAGCCCGGAGCCGCAGAAACGCAAGTCCGGTAATGCGCCGCCCGGGGTCGGACCTGGGAGGACTTGGTGGTGGGGGGTGCTGCACCGCCCGCTGCGGCCGGCCGGCCGGCGTGCCCCGCACTGTACCCTGTAGCTTTCGGCTGGGTTAGACACGTAGATGCGCGAAACACGCCTGTAAGAATCTAGGGAAGACAAGACAGGGGGTGTCTAACGTTGCCGCTGTCTCCCTGCTTGTTGTGGGCATCAGCCTAGGGGTTCCGGCGGATCCAGCCCCGTCCGCTCACCGGGCGGGCAGCCCCTGCGGGGCTTGGAGGAGGTGACCCGGTAGAGTGGGCAGAGTAGCGAGAAGCAGAGAACCGGGATGCCTCCTGGCAATGAGGCTTTACGGGGCATGGGTGGCCGGGAGGTCGATACACAAGCAAGCGAAACAAAGGCGGGCCTCACAGGAGCTGGGACTTGGGAGTGCTGCCTGGGCCGGGAGGAGGGGAGAGTGACAGGGGCTGCAGGGAGCTAGAGGAAAAAAGCGACCCTTTGTTTTTATGCAAAGCAAGCGTGTTCCCTATACAAAGTTAAAAAATTAAGTGAGTTTTTTTAAGTAGTCGGTTATAATTTAGGTTTACGTCTTTTTGGGTTTTTTTCCATGAGCTTAGTTTATGTATTAAAACACTCTACTTTGTGTTCTCGTTTTACCCGGTAAATGTGAACCTTACTTGATTCGTTAAAATGAAACCTGCGTCATTTAGCAGCCCTTTATCCATAGCAGTGCTTTAACTTGACATTGTAGGTGGGTATTTAGGTTTTCCTAGTTTTTCTCTCAGACAACATTGTGATGAGTATTTCTGAGGCCATATCTTTGTGCATATCCGGAATGGATTCTCACAAGCAGACTGCTGGGTCTAGTGTGGATGTTTTTCAGGGTTTTGAGATGTGTCGCTGATCTGCTTTCTAGGGTTTGTGAGTCTGAGCTCTACAGATAAGGGTGGGTCATCCTTCCTGATTCACTCTCAGCCTCCTTTTGGGATCAAAGCTTTTGCAAGACTTTTCCTGCCAGTTGAATGGGTGACAAAGGTTGGGACTGCAGCCCTTTTTAATTTTGTGTTTCAGCCAGCAAAACTCAAGGCTCAGAAGCTGCTGGACCCCCAAAAAAGAAGAGGAAGAAAGCGCAGAAGAAATCCCGGGAGCGGGAAAAGGCTGTGGAGCTGAAGACCCAGGCTCCAGGGGAAAAGTCTCCAGCATCTTCCAGGGCCAAAAAGCCAGCAGTACCTGAGGAAGGAGAGGCCTTCAGCTCCATGGGATCTCCAGCAGATGGGGATGTGGAGCAGGGCCAGCTGAGATCAGGTGACAACATGGTCCTAAGAAAATGTGGTGCCAGGCACACTGGGGTACCTTGAGACTTCCCATAGAGTGAGCTTTCAGGGGACAGATCCCAGGGACTCTTGGGTAGATGAGATCCCTGGAAGTACACGGTGGTTCCAGGCCACTTGGCAACTGGGTCTGGTGAGGGGCAAGGTCACGTCCCCCTAAGGACCTGGAGCAGCTTGCCCTGCAGCGCCTCACTCCCCGCAGATGTCCGAAGGGGAGTCATGAGAACTGACTTGTGGAGAGACGTAAGGAAACCCAGGCTGCAGAAGTTGGAAGAAATGAGAGATGGGCTTGGCTTGACCTGTAGGAAGTGTTTTGTCACACCACACAGGGGTGTTCTGTCCTGGAGGACGACCTAGGGGCCAGTCCAGCCTGAGGAGGTGGAGTAGAATTTACTGGAACTGCCCTGTAGGTGGACAGGTGGCCACCTGGCGGTCGTGGCGGGGGGGGGGGGGCAGTGTGTGGAGGTTCAGGCTTTGAAGCTGGGCCTTGGGAAAAGGGATGGGATTAGGGAGGGGTTTTCTTAGCTCTCCACCTCCTTCCTTACAGATGCCCTGGTCACAGAACTTGACTCTCTCTTTGCCCTGGATGTTGTGAGGCAGCGGCTACATGAAAAAATGCGGGAGGCCCGGGGCCAGGTGAGCGGGGCGGCTGCTGGGGTTCAGGGAGCAGTGTGGTTTACTGCAGTGGTTTCCCTGCTCTGCCTGGAGGAGAAGGTGCCTGTGCTCTTTGTGGGGTTGGCTCCCAGCTCTGGCAGCCGTCGTAGGGCTGACAGGAGGGACCTCAGCTGCTCTTCCCACCCCTGTAGCGGGTCCTGCCAGGGCCTTGGCAGCTTTGTTTGGCAAGAGATCAGGTGTGGTTTGCAGCATCTCAGCGAGCCTCTGTTCCCAGGGTCACCTACCTTGTATGATCTGTGCTGGGCTGCAGATTCCTTGTGCCCTCAAAAGAGGCTCAGCCTCCTCTCTCTGGAAAGCTGCCCTTGCTGAACATACCAGGCAGCACTCTGTCCCCCGAAGTGTCATGACAGCCCTATAAGTTAGGTGATCTCCACAGGGAGCACCAGACCTGAACCAGCCTGAGCTGTTTGTGCTGGCATTGTCGTCCTCTCAGCCACCACCTGCCCTTTCCTGGGGACATGCCCTGGGCCTCTTGCTGTGTGGGGACGGTCCCCCAGCTTCTTTGTGCATCTGCCCGGGGATAAGCCCAGGGGTCATTCCTAAGGAGTGGTCCAAGCTCCGGGCCTGGTCCTTCTGCACACAGGTCTGGGTCAGCCTGGTCTAGGGTTCTCTTTTTGGCCCCAGAAGGAAGGGGTCAGACATGTCACCAGCAGAATGGTGCCATGGTCAGCACGGGCACTGAGTCATTCTGACCTGATGCCCATTCTAGTTGGTGGCTTTGGCTAAGCCTGTTCTTCTCATCTATGAAGTGATGTAGGACGTGTTCCCTCTGGGAGTATTAGGAAGATAGAGTAACCGTGTTTATAAAGCACCCTGGTGTGATGCGCCTGGGGACTGGAAACCATGAACTCGGGGGTTCTCTTGTCCTTTTGGGGGTCCCTTGTGTTCTAGGTGATAGATCATTTCACAGGGGAACACTGAAGTCAGTGGGCATCTTGTCTTGCTCAACAGTCTCCTCACCTGCTTTCCTGCCTTGATTCCACGTCTCAGACCGGGGCTCCCCAAATTGGAAGGACCTTATACATGAGTTTTTGCTCTTTCTCCAGGGACACAACACGGAGCTGTCTCCCGCCGCTTTGGAGAAGAGAAGGCGGCGAAAGCAGGAGCGGGACCGGAAAAAGAGGAAACGAAGGGAGTTGAGGGCAAAGGAGAAGGTGGCAGAGGCTGCGGAGGCTGCCAAGCCGCCCCACGAGCAGCCCCACGAGCAGCCCCACGAGGAGGTGCAGCCGGGGCTGCTCTTCAATAAGGTGAGGGGCGGACACAGCCACGGAGCGTGGGGACCCGGGCTCTACCCCTGGCTGGCTGTGTGACCTCTGGCCCACAACTGCCCATCTGCAAAGTGGGGTAGTGACCAGTGCCTGCCCACGGGGGTGCTTGTCAGCGTTCAAGGGAAAGGCATCGTAAAGATGTAATTCACCTGGGTTGCAACTCTTACTTCTGAGGTGGAGGTGACCGAGGAGCAAGCAGCCAGCAAGGCCCAGCGCCGGAAGGAGAAGAGGCAGAAGCTGAAGGGGAAGCTGGCGCCGCTGACGGGCAGGAACTACCGGCAGCTGCTGGAGCGCCTGCAGGCGCGGCAGGCTCGGCTGGAGGAGCTGCGGGACCAGGACGAGGGGAAGGCGCGGGAGCTGGAGAGCAAGATGCAGTGGACCAACCTGCTGTACAAGGCCGAGGGCGTGCGCATCCGTGATGACGAGCACTTGCTGCAGGAGGCCCTGAAGCGCAAGGAGAAGCGGCGTGAGCAGCGGAAGCGCAGGTGGGAGAAGCGCACGGCCCACGTGGTCGAGAAGATGCAGCAGCGGCAGGACAAGCGGCGGCAGAACCTGCGCAAGAAGAAGGCGGCCCGGGCCGAGCGGCGCCTGGACAAGGCCCGCAAGAAGGGCCGGATCCTGCCCCAGGACCTGGAGCGGGCCGGCCTGGTGTGAGGGCCTGCAGCCCGGGCGCCCAGACCTCCTCCCTGACCTGGGGCTGCCCTCCCACCTCGTGTGACCGCGGCCACGAGCTCGGTCTGTGCGGTCTAGGCTCCTCGGAACCCGGGGCGGGCGGTGCTCTGCGGGCTCACCTTGCAAGCTGGTTGTGAGGGCTCCGCTCCCATATGAGAAAGAAAAGGAGTGCTGTTGAGAATAGAGACCTAGATCCTTCAGAGCCTGGAAAGAGGTGACTGCGTCCAGGTTCCAGCCTTCTCTTGGAAGACTGCAAAGCTCCCCAGAAGTTTGCAGGGTGAGGGAAGCGTGGAGGGCGTGAGGGTTCTGGTGGGGGCACTTCACTGGCTCTTTCTTCCCCTCCCGGGTTGACAGGAGCCAGGAAAGAATGGCCTTTGGGACTGTCCACGTCAGCCGAAAACTCACCTGGAAGGAAGGAAGCTCAAAACTGCTGTAGCCCAAGTCCAAGGTGGCATTGGCCTCAGGTGACTGGCAGAGGGTGGAACCAACCTTGGGTGTGACTGGGAGGGAGTTAACCTGAGTTGATTTGTAAAAGGAGCAGAAATTAGTCCTTAAGGTAAACACGCACCTGAAAAGAGTTAAGATGACCGCTGGGGGCTGCCTGGGGGGCTCAGTGGTTCAAGGGTGCCTGACTCTTGGTTTGGGCTCAGGTCCGGATCTCAGGGTCCGCTGATCAGCCCCACATCAGGCTCCGCCCTCAGCATGGAGTCTGCTTGAAATTCTGTCTTGCTCTCCCTCTGCTCTTCCCGCTCCTGCTGTTTCTCTAAAATCTTCAGTGGAAAAAAATAGATGCGGGCTGGAAGTTCAGCACAGTGTGCGCCATGCTGGGAGGAAGGGGGAGGCGGGGGGTGGCGCTGGAGGACGTCAGCCCAGGAGAAGGCAGGAGACAAGGAAGGCTAGAAGCTACGACTCGGCGAGGCGATGGAAGACGGCCCGTGAGGCGGTGGAATCCCACGCACACCTGTGGGCAGGCAGACCCGCTGCAGATGCACAGGACCCCGGGGCGGGGGTGGATTTCGTGGCTCCTGAGTAATGTTTCAGTGAAGCCGTCAATAACTCTTTTGACTGAGCTCCAGTTAAGAAACACTGTAACAAAGGCTGGTGTGGCTGTACTGGGCAGAGCGGACCAGAGGATAAACAGCACCGTGGAGGGTGAGGTAGGTCACGGCGGGAAGGAGGGGCTCCGCGCCCCCGGCAGGCAGAGCGATTCTGACGCCCCCAGTGATGGAGCTGCAAGTCTCCCAGGGGAAATCCGCTCACAGACAAAAGCGGAGGATTTCTGGTGCCTCTCTTAGGCCTAGAAACACCCGGCAGAAGTCCGGTGGATACGGAAGGTCTAGATGAGAGTTGATGAGCTTGATCTAAGGACACAGAGCGGTGTGAGTGGGAACAAGGTGCGGACTCCACCCACATCTGGAGCAGCAACGAGAACTGACTGCCTGGTCCATGAAGCAAGTTCTCTGTTTCAAGGAATCGACGTCCTACCAGGCGTGTTGTCTGGCCGCGGCATGATTTAGTTGTTAAAGTTAAGACGTGATTGTAGAAGTTTCGTGTTCAGAAGTTTAAAAACGTACTTCTGAGTTACCTGTGTGTCATTGTGGGAGATGGAATCTATCGCCAAGTGTCAACACTGAAAATGCCCTGATTCACCTTCTGGGCCTCCCCAGGCCTGGCCGTCACCCCCTCCCTGGCCCAGAGCTTCGGGGCTGCCGGTGTGCGGGACAGGGCGGCACGTGACGTGCTCTGGGGCAGGTGACAACACAAGCAGCGCATCCAGGGGCATCAGTGGGCGATAGCACATGGACAACAGAAGAGCACAGAGTGGGTCGGGGAGGCCTGACAGACGCTCGGATGCTCTGTGCCTCAGGTGGGGAAGAGCCGAGCGCAGCATCATGGGAGAAAACCTCTGGGGCTGAATGTCAGGAACATTTGCAGAACCAAATGGTGGCAGTCCCCAGTTTCAAAGGTACCCCCCGCTCGGGCGGAGGGAAGCAGATGAAGATTGCCCTAACCAGAACCCCTCCTGCACAGGAACTGGGGTTCCAACATCCCAAAGGTCGTGGTAGTAGGAAAAGTAATAAGGGAAAGCTCACTAAAACAGAGTCAAGAGGCCAGAAAGAGGAGCTCTCGTGCACTCTGTCACCCGGAGTCAGTCACAGAAAGAACTGTCGCACACCCCGGCAGAAGGATCCTCCACAGGAGGGAATCATGTCTACAGACCCGACAGAAGGATGGACGCTTCATCTCCTGTGAGAAAACCACTCCCCCAGCAACTCAGCCAGTGGGAAACTGCCCTCACGCTGAACTCCTGCTCTTGTCCAGTGGACTTCGGTTCAGGACAGCCCCTTCTAACTTTCTCCTCGTAAAATAACACTTCTTTCTTTGTTGGAGTTGTCTGCGGTTTTACTGTAGCTTGCATGTCCCGAATTGCAATTCTCTGCTATTCCCGAATAAACCCATTTTGTTGGTAAAGTACTGGCGGTTTTAAGGTCAACGGTGGTCTCCTTTTGGCCCTGGCTCTTTGGGTGGGGCTCAGAGGAAGGATCACAGCGAGCCTTCTTCGTGTTTGGGGCCCCAGGACTTGAACTAATGCATGTTTAGAAGTTCAGTGAGGGGCTGTGACCAATCAGGTAGCTCAAGTGAGGCTTCTGTTCACCAGACCTGGGGGTGGGGGGCAGAGGGGTCTCCAGACCCCGGTGGGTCTTCTCATCCAGTTCACTGCAGTAGTCTGGGAGAAAGTCACAGGAAGCTTGCATACATGACCTGTGGAAATAACACTCTGCTGCGTGTTCTCTGTGCTTGGGTTAGAAAACAAGAAATAAAAACAAGTAAATTAGACATCCCCATTCAATAAGGAAAAGGAGTAAAATAAGGGAAGCAGAGAAAAGGACTTGGTACGGAAAAGAGGAGATACAAATTACAGTTTTAAGGCTATAAACTATTAACAAAGGAAGAGGGAAGAAAGGAATGCTACTATGCCTAATTCCCTGCAAATAGATTTGAAAATCTGAACAAAATAGATCATTTCCTAGGAAATATAATTTAGAAAAGGTGATTTTGGGAGAGAGAGAAGGTTAAAGCAGACTGCTTTTCATAAAGGAAATGGAGAAAATTTCCAGAGAGTTAACCCTGCCACAAAATGAGTCATAGGGATGAGGTAAAACGAGGTCCAGAGTTTTACAGAATCCTACCCAAAAGTTTAGAGAACAGATTGTTTTAATTCTATTTAAACTGTTCAGAAAGTAGAAAAAGTATTGCTTCTAAAACACTTGTATTGATTGACCATAACTTTGGTAGTGAAATGCAACAAAGAGCACAAAAGGGAAGAGTACAGAGGGGCGGCACTTTGGGTCTGGCAGAGCCTGCTGGAGAGGAGGCGCCTCCCGAGTCTCCCCCGGTGGTGGAACAGGGCCTGCCACGTAACAGGCCACACCACCAGTCACCGCGTACATGTACGTTTGTGCACCAGGTCCTGCTGGGGGCACAATGCCAAGATGTTTTATCTTTGCCCCTGGTCCCTGTATTCTAGAGGGTCCGCAAAGCACCATTCAGTGGTGTGGGGAGGGCTCCTGTGGGCAGTACCCAGTGTATTAAAGGGGAACTGAGGCATGGCTCCTGCCACGGGCTTGTGGTGCTAGGGGAAGACCCCCAGGGGAGCAGTGTGCACGCTTCTCCCTCTCCCTCTGCCCCTCCCCCTACCTGTGCTCTCTCTTGCTTGTTCTCTCTCTCTTGAATAAGTACAATCCTTAAAAAAGTAACTAAAAATTGTTGGGATAAAATTCATAGAACATAAAACTGGACGTTTTAAAGCACACGATTTAGAGGCTCTAGTGCATTCACACTGTTGTGCAGCGCCATCCTTCTCTTCCTTCAGAACATTCCGCTCACCCCCAAAAGGACCCTGAGCCCGTTAAGCAGTACCTCCCTCTTTCCCTCCTCCCTCGCCCCAGCACCCACCAACCTACGTTCTCCACAGTTACCTACGCTGAACATTCATAGAAGCGGAAACACATAGTATTGGCCTTTGGTCTCATTTCGTTCCCTGAGCAGTTTCTTGAGATTCCTTCCCTGTAACATTTATTAGGATGTCATTCCTTTTTATGGCTGAATCATACTGTTGTGTGGACGGACCACGTTTTGTTGGTTGATGGACTTTCGGGCTGCTTCTACCTGTCTGCTGTTGAGGACCTGCTGCTGTGAATGTGTGTGCACGTGAACTTGTTTCAGAATCTGTTCTCAGTCCCTTCGGGTCTGTGCCCAGGACTGGAATTGCTGGGTCTGGCAGTAATTCTGTGTTGCCATTTTGGGGGAACCACCAAAAGATTTTCCACAGTAGCTGCACCATTTTCCATTCCCACCAGCAAATATGAGGCTCCAATGTCTCCAGTCCTCACCAACATTTCTGATTTTCCCTACTTTTGCTTATAGGCCTTTCCAGTGGGTGTGAAGGGTTAGCTCACGCTTGCATTTGCTTGATGACTAACGGTGTTGAGCAGCTTTATGAGAGCATTTTGGCTATTTGTGGTCCTCAGAGATGTCTGTTGAAGTCCTTTTCCATTTTTCAATTGGATGTCTTTTCTTGAGATGTAAGAGTTCTTTACACATTCTGGATATTAGGCCCTTATCAGATGTGATTTGCAAGTATTTTAAAATTTTTTATGTTCTATATTAAAATAACCTTTTATCTTTTTAAAACTTAAAATTCAATTAGCATGCATATAGTACATCATTAGTTTCTGATGTAGCGTTCAGTAAGTCATCTGTTGTGTATATACCCAGTGCTCATCGCATCGCCCAGTGGCCCCACCCCTCACCCACCTCCCCTTCTGCAACCCTCTGTTTCCGAGTCAAGAGCCTCTCACGGTTTGTCTTCCTCTCTGATTTCTTCCCATTCAGTTTTCCCTACCTTCCCCTATGATCCTCTGTGTTATTTCTTTATTTCACCTGTGAGTGAAACCAAAAGATAATTCTCTTTCTCTGATTGACTTCTTTCACTTAGACACATTAATTCTGCGGAAAGATAGGAAAAAGGCGATGTTCAGGAATACTTG